CCATCATCGGAATACTCTTCAATGCCAATGACCTTTAGGTTTATACGAACGTTTTTGACCCAGCATCCATCCAACCCAGCAGGAAAGTCTGTAAAATTTGCCTTTCTGAATGTAGCCGGAATATGAATAACACCCACGGTTTAAACCCAAGTATTAGTTTTTTTGTGGGGTGTCGACAAGGCCTTTAGATTAGGATAATCACCCTGAGTGTTGGGGTTGGGGAAAACTAGACAACGCGGGAAAAGAAACCAATTCCCCCTTTTGAAAACGCGCTATCGAAATTTTGCGCATCATTATACAAACTGATTTTTGTAGGTTCACAGCTGGTTACTCAAGAGTGCAGAGAATCTAAGAATTCACTTCCTGTTTCATTCAAGTTTAAAGGATTGAGTTGGTGAATTGTTTGGAAATCAACAATCTTACAACGCTACAACTACGCACTATAGCATTTTGCTGCCTGGTAGCCAAACTCGTGCTTGATCCTGTAATTGTAATTCGTCGGCAAGCTATTCAAATGTTCTAAACCCAGGAAACAAATTGTTTATGTCTTTTTCAGCTGAGAAAAACGGTTTGATTCTTTTAACAATTGTATCTGGATCTAGATCTAGAATCTAGTTTTCTTTCCTAATTTTGCGAACTATTTCTTGAGCAATTTTAATATCTATGTTGTAATTGTTTTAGGCAATTTAGATGATTCAGGAAGTGCACTGCTTCGGTCTAGGTTTAATGACTTATTTGGACTGAGTAGGGTACGTCGTTTAAAAAAAAAATATCAAGGCATCTCACTAAGTTCTATTTATTGCTGTTTTCCTCGCGTTTTCAGTTTTAAAAAAAACCTATAAGGTTCTATATATCATTTTGTCCTGTCCTTTCCCACAGCTCTTCATTTCATATTCTACCCTGCCACTTAATTCTTAGGATACTCCTCATACATCTGTTGTGAAAGTCTGGACTTTATTCAGTACACTGATAATATAATATGTACTAACAAAAAATAAGATATTATTGTGATGTTGTTATGTTTTTCAGAGCCGCATCTGACACAGAATGGGTACATCCGTTTGGGAAGAGAAGGGTGAAGGCTCCCGATGTGAGTTAAAGTATAACTTTATACTTCAGAGGACTCCCTCCACTACCACAAGACATGCACACTCACACACACACACACACACACACACACACACACACACACACACACACACACCAGACTCCAGTAATGTAATGTTCTTGCAGAACTTTCACACTCCCATCGACGTTATTTAGACTATTTAGTGTGCAAGTTGCGCACCTTAAAGATCCCTTGGTTGTCCAAAGTTGATAAGAGTAGGTTGTGGCCGCCACCTGGGCAAATTCAAACGTCCTACCAACTGAAAATGTTCAATGTGCCTCGCACGCTTATAATGTGACTTTATGCAGTTGCGAGCGCCGTAAAACACTACAAAAAATAAATAAATTAGGACCTGGACTTCTTCGATTCTGCATGGTAGAAAGATGGAAATACTCGATACCCCCTCCCCCCACCCCTTTTGTGTTCGACGGCGCTAACCGCACAGACGCCGGCCAGGCATCAGGTCAAAATGATTTCTACGCCCAACTGTGCTCACAAAATATGTTTAGAAAAATTAATTATTTAATTAAAAAACATATCGGGCTGGCTGGTCGTTAAACCAAGAAATTCCATGAAGCTATTTTAATGTTGTGGCTCATATTCATGTTGCTATTGCTATTATTGTTGCTGTTGCTGTTGTTATTCTTGTTGCCATGCTGTGTGTGTGTCTGGCCGACTCTCTTCCCCCCCCATCTCTCTCTCTCTCTCTCTCTCTCTCT